CATTCAATCACATTGTACGCTTATCCGTATCCTCAAACATTATTGATAATTTTAAATTATCTGTTTTAGAAAATAATTTGAAGAAAAATTCAGAGATTTATACGTTTCAGCGAAGGATTAGAAATGTCGTAAATATTTCTGGACTTTTTTTACTAAATGTCATATGGTCATAGTGTTGTGGTCGTTGCATTGGACTTTATCTTAGCTTTTACATTATGACGATAAAAATTGCACACAAGTAAATAGATGACATTATTTCTTGATTAGATTTATAAACAAATTTGTGTGATTATTTGCCATTTTACTGTATTTTAGCTTTGCTTTTCTGTGTCACTTTGGGTCACCTTGAATGACCTCCATAATAGTTCATTGTATTCGCCTCGAAACACTCTATCAGAATGTAAGTAAAAAAACTTACAGTTCCATTTAAAAAAACAGAATTGACCTTCGTATCTCCTTGACGCCTCCACCTACAGAAAAATTGGTAATGCCAGATTATATATGTGTCCCCCGATACCAAGTAAGTTTGGTCTAATGCATTTTCTCCTATCTTCAAAAACAAGCGAGTTATTCAGATGACCTGTTTAAAATGCCTCACCCTGTATTATCTCAAAGTTTAGATTTTAAAAAGATTATTAAAAGCGTAACTGTTGTATGAATCGCGAGACTCAATTTCATACGCATAAAATACTGTAAGCCGGAAAGATTGTTTTACATTCACAGTTAAAGAGGCTTCGAGTGCAAAGGGTTAAACGTATTTTTGTTCCGTTCCACAACGGAATTTTTATTCTCCGTCCGTCTGATTTTCTCTGGAGCAAATTGCTTTCTGTTCAAGTTTGCAATGGCTTGATTTCCGTGGAGTTCCCTCTGGCTTAGCGAGACAATACTCGTATTCCTTCAACAAACGGTATACACTTGACAAAAAGTCCCGTCTCTTTTAGGTCTTCAATTTCGTAGAGCCATAGCCTTTTTCTTTGCCGTCTTTTAGGTTTATAACTTCATAGAGCCGCCTTCTTTCCGACAAGTAAAGTAATCGCTTATTCGTTATCGCATATTAGTTGTCGTATATTTTTGATTTATAGCAGGCTCGCCAGCTCCCGCACCGCTTCGGTCACCCGTTCGGGATTTCTCGTTATCTGCGGCATGCGCTACGTCACTTTTTTGCTTCCCTTTTTCCAACTCGTTACTAGCCAATCAGTTTCTAGATCTCTATCTTCGGAGAATATAAAAACCAGAAACCAATTCGCCAATCAGTTTCAGTCTGCTTCAGTCAATCTCTCATTCTGCTTTAGTCGACCCCAGCCCACGCTAGTCTTCTAGACAGCCATCTATCGTACACATTCAACCTTAGACCATCGAGTTTAGTCTATTTTATAGTGCTCCAAATTCAGTCTTCAAGGTTAAAACTCGTCAAAACAGGTGTTTCTTTTCAATTAGACGAACAGCGGTACCAATCAATTCCGTCGTTTAACGTCATCGACCTTACAACCCGACAGATTTTTAGAATCACGGTATTTCGGTATTGAACGCACACGCGAGTCACCTGCATTGTTTGCAATCAAAAAATCTCACACAATTATTTCCTCATTTATTATACATTTTCTAAGATACATTTTGTTATTTTTCAAAGTCGACATTTTCTATTGAACATAAAAACAACTATTTTTCGTTACCGCAATCGATGCATGTTCCACATTATTAAAGCACTGTTCGACTTTATCGAAAATACTGAAGCTATGATTTATTTCCGAAAAAGTGGTCGCACCGTTCCAGATTTAAACTATGATCGATGCGTATTTTACGCTGATTAGGTTAATGAGTGAAAAATGGAGGGTTCCTATGAAATTTGGGAATAAACGAAAAGAGGCCGTCGACTCACGTTTACCAAAAGCGATCCCCTTTAACGATAAATCAGTCGGCACCACAAAACTGATCAAAGGGAGATGCTCGCGTGATCCGGAAGCAATTAAGCCTCGAAGAGCTGGTCTTACTTACCGGGACATTCGAGTCGGTGTATTCTATCTGACTCGGAATTCGTCTGGTTCTGCCTCGGTGGATCACGTGTCCGATGGTAGTATCCAGCAAATGCGACGAACACGCACGAAATCAAGTTTTGGGTTACAGTAACTCTCAAAAGTATTCGTTCACTTCCAAAGCGGAATAACGTTTGCAACATTCAGATAGCAATATGAAATTTTTTTGAGACGTTAAAGGAACCAGTTTACTGATCAGCGTCTAAAAAAAAATTTGGTAATTATTCACTTTAGGGGAGGCAGTACCGATTTTGACGTACTTCAAATATGATGTCCAGGACATCATTCTGAACTACTTTATTTAAAATTATGCTCTCGACAAAATATTTGAAAACCATGAAAGTCGGAGCTGCCTTCCCAAAGGTGAATATTTTGCAAAATTTCCAGTTAGTTCAAATGATAGAATAAAATGAAAAAGATTTTGAGAAATGATGAGAAATTGAAACATTGAAATGTCTTTTAGTATTTCTATCTGAACCTAGAACAACAATTTCATGACTGTTACATCAATTTTTTTTAAGTAATTTATGTGCACGCTGAAAAATCCACGGTATCGCTTCAATCACCTCGAAAAGATTTGTCCGATTGCGGAAAAGGTTGCCAGAGTACTTTTTGGAGTCACTGTACGTCGAACTCGTAGCCATTGATTCGAAATTCTCCAATGTTCGATTCCATGAAATATTTCATGGTATTGCCGATATACGATTGGCAAGATCAAAGAACACTTTCAGAGGCAAATGATCCACCAGAGTTCTCCAACGTCATGCGGAAAATTAGAGGGGAAAATTAATATGCTGATTCCCTCGGCTGCGAACAAAACGCGGATTTTACAACGTCTGACTCGGTCATTTTGTGCGCCCACGATAATTCTCGGATACGCGATCCGAGGCTTGTGTTGTTGGCACAATTCACGCGGCGTTTGCATGTCTATAGTCGTGGTATACTTGCAATAATCGATTACGCTTTTGGACGCGTGTCTTTGAAGTTTTGTGAAATTTTGTAGACTTTTGTGAAACATGTTCTTCGATATTTTAAAAATTGCTCCCTATAATATCAATAAATAATTACAAGCTTAATTATTATAAATATCGTTAATAGAAAGATCATTTGCCTCATCAAAAATTAACATTAATCCTACCGCAGTCTAAAAGTGTTTCTTCAGGAAAATGATAAGACTGAATTTATTTAAACTCTTCTAATATAATTGAATAAGGAAATTTATTTAATGATTTCTTAACCAGTCAACAATTTTTGATTAAGTTAAGTAAATAAATAAATGTTCGTAAAATAAAATTAAAAAATAAAACTGTCATTTCATTGGAACTTAAATTTATATTGTAACAACCACACATAAAATTTTCAAAGAAATTGCAACAGCTAACTGGTTAAGAAAGAGTCTTCATAATTTCAACATTTTGAAAACAAAAATTATAAGATCGGTCATTTTGACCAGCATGGTAAATTTCTGGTTATAATGACCACATATAAATACTACTATTAACGCATAATGTGCTTATCCAAATTCACATTTACCAGATCCAAGTTTCAAAAATAAGAACTGGAAGGTCTGAAATAAAATAAATAGTATGTTCGTTCCAAAAACATATTTGTCAGGCAAAAGGAGTATTTTTGACTGTAGCCTTGTTAAAAGTCGTGTATCAGTGAATTCATTGATATGTTTTGACCTGACAGAGGGCATGACTGACAATGAGCACGTTTGATAGCGTGTACGCAAGGACTATCGATTATATGCACGTCTGATGTGTGTCTGCCTTGAATGAGAGTTGACGGTATTGTCGAAGTGATTTTACACTGCTGTTTAGTAAATAAAATTTAGCGCGATGGAAATGTTTGTATCCATAATAAAGAGACAGCGGATATTTATGCAAAATGAAATGTATCTTTGTTAACTATAAGTGACAGAAGTAAGATAAAAATTTATTTCTTCACTTAATATTTTCAATATATCAAAGACAATATGTCAGTATCCTTCAATTCTTTTAAAATCTTTACAAATACATATTTAATCTATTCACTTTTGCTATAAATGCACAAAATCCGTAGTCTAGTAATAAACACAGCTATAATTATAGCTTTCGATAATCAGCAAATTTTGAGGAGAATGTGTGAGAAGATGTACTAAAATGGACATGAATAATATAAATAAACTCACGAGATTTTTCAAGACTGTGGTTTTTATGCAATTATGGCGAAAACGAGTAAATGAAGCATAAGTAGTAAGAAATGTCTACGCAGTTCCTTGCTATCGATGTACAAAATATTCATTTTACATAAAGATTCACAGTATGCTTATAACTAGACCGCAGAACTTATACGTATATGCATACATTTATTTACTTAATATTTTCAATGTATCAAAGACAATGTGAAAGTATCTTTAAATTCTTTTAAAACCTTTACAAATACATATTTAATCTATTCACTTTTGCTATAAATGCACAAAATCCGTAGTGTAGTAACAAACACAGCTACGATTATAGCCTTCGATGATCGGCAAATTTTGAAAAAAAATATGCGAGGAGATGTACTAAAATGGACATGAATAATATAAATAATAATATTGTTGACTATAGTCTTGTTTTAAAATTTTCATTTTGTTCGTGCACTAATTTGCGCTGCATACATCTCAAAACATTTAACTCTTGTTTGATTGTTCACCGATGCAAATAAGTAACCGAATTGAGCACTAAATCGCAAACAAAGAACCGAAACAGCACATGACAATGTCTGGAAATGAAATTGGCTGTACTCGTACTGCAGATACGCAGGAAACCTCGCGGTTTAAATTCACAGCCGTTCTCGGCAAAGCAGATTTCCCCGATACAATCGACCGGCTAACTTTCCCGGGTAACAATATTAAGCTCGAGGGACAGTTTGGGGGATTAAAAGTGACGTTTATGGGTGAACGTGCTCCGGATAACCCACACGAATCGATAACTGTTTCAGGTCACTGTGGACTTGGGCAAAGACGCAGAATTTCAGTGCTCCGTCACCGGACAGCCTACGCCAGTAATCACGTGGACGAAAGACGGACTTCCGGTCCGAGAGAGCGCCTCCGGCAGGAACAAGATCACGGGAACCGACGGATCCACGCTGCAAATTTCCTCGATCGTTAGGGACGACAAAGGGATGTATCAGTGTTTCGCACAGAACGATTATGAGATGGTCCAGGCTACTGCGGAATTACGCCTTGGGGGTGAGTACTGAATCAGTGGGAAATAATTAGGCGGACATTCCTGTATTTGACGTGCCTCGAATCGGCGTTTGGATAATGAACAATCGTTATCGATAAAATGATCGAATTAACGGACCCGAGAACAAACGGCTTTTAATATACTTTTTCTCCGTTTGCAACTGTGTTCTTGAAAATATCGTTCAAGTTTACGTACTTAGATAAAATGCGAAAATTCGATACATTCGGTTGAAATATTACTCGTACACCTTTTGAAAACAGAGTAACTTCTTTATAATCGGGGCAAGCGATCTAAATTTCGTTGATATATTAGAGGAACAAATGTTATTTCGTATAAAGAGGAGCATTCGCGGTAACAATAAATTTCTTGCTATTTTCCTTTTTCGTCAAAATATGATGGTCACTCGATAAAATATGAAACACTTACACAGATATCATTTGCATTGCTTAATCGTCCACATGCTTGCACCGATTATAATGGACAACATTTTGAACGTTTCTTGCATTGAAAGTCAAATAATGAATATCTCGATAAATATTCATTTCCGAACTCGTCTACCTTAATAATTCTGTATTTGATAGACTTTCGAATGGCATGATTAAATGTTGCACATTAACAAACTTTTGTTCGAAAGTAAAGAAAAATTAAGGTGAACGAGTTAAACGGCTCACCCTATATTTATCAGATGCAATTTTTTGCCAATAATGAATAAAGTCTAAAATTACAGTGTCTTGTTTGTTAAAGTTCTAGAATGTAATGATGTACAGCAAGTATGTACTCTGTAGAACGAAGACTAAATTATTAGGTTGTAATATAAGTTCGTTCCGCTTTGTTACTTAATTGTGTTACAATGCTTTGTCGATTCATTAACAACCGACGACAAGTATTTCACCTCTTTTATTTGTTTTGGTTTCAGTGATTATTTCTGCACAAGTTTGTTTACAATCGGTGATCTTTACTACTGTCTAAACGTTTAATAATTAATAATAATTAATAAACGTTTCGAACGCCTCGAGATAAAAAACATTTTCGTCACTTTTGCTTTGTTACTACAGCAAAGATAAAAATACGTCAAAAACATGTCTAAAAATTCATGGCATGTACAAAGACGATGCAAATGATTGAAAAAAATTTAAGGATGGATTCAGACTTGAAACGAATTCGGGCCTTCGTTAACAATAATCATCGTATAACAATACGTGATACCGCAGAAATATTAAAAATATCCATCATGACGGTTTCAAAGCATATTCGTGATCTTGGATTGACAAAAACGGGACGAATTTATATTACAGCCAAATTTCGAAATTCTAACGTTAAACTTTTAAGCCCGACGCGCCATTATAGTGGCTTCCGCGGATATCATCTTTCAGAATGACACGCCACTATAGTGGCTTTCGTGGATGTCATCTCTCTGGACGATGCGCCATTATAGTGGCTTGCTCTAGTAGCTCACTCGCTCATCGTTTGAACTAAATAATCGTCTTCATATGCATTGTTTCACACTTCTTTTGTCTTCGCATCGATTTACAGGGTGTCTACAGGGTGTCCCAAAAATGTCTCGCAATCCGGAAATGGCGGGTTCCTCGGATCATTTGAAGCAACTTCTTCCTTTACAAAAATTTTCTCCGTGGCACCGTTAACGAGTTATTAACGAAAAACAGTGACCAATAAGAATCGAGTACGGCTGACGCGAGGCGGCCCAGCCAACCAACGCACGAAACCCAGTTCTGCTCATTGGCTCGATCGCCTCGCGCAGCTGAGCTCGCCTCTCATTGGTCACTGTTTTTCGTTGATAACTCGTTAACGGTGCCTCGGAGAAAATTTTTGTAAAGGAAAAAGTTGCTTCAAATGACCTGAGGAACCCGCCACTTTCGCCACAGTATCAGACTCTGTACAGTACACATCAGACTCTGCCGTCCAGAGAAATAGCCTCGCGCAGAATTCAGCCGTACCTAAAAGGTTAATACATCGCCCTATAAAAATAATTCCGGGAACGTAGCAACGGCGTCTTTAAATCGGTCCTTTATTTCCCACGAACCTACTATATTTGAATACTTAATTTTCTATCCGAGTTGAGCGAGCAGGACGTGGACGAGACGGGAGAATTGGCGTGGAACTTCGGTACAAGTCTCGGTGAAATTAGCCAGTTCGAAAGTTAAAAATTTAAGGCCAATAAAAGCGTAGGCAGCGATCAGGCGAAGGTGCTGAAGATGAATGGTGCCGCGGGGGAGGTGGAGATACAGTTTCGCAGGAAGGGAAATGCAATTTGTCACGACGACTCAGCTTAGAACGCGACGGTGTACAATTACCGGTGAAAGATACGGAACAAAATAATTTTTGATGAACAGTTGCGCCAGGCTCTGTGCTAAAACTGCAACGGAAGATAAAGTGGCGCAGATGAAACTGATATCCGTGCGCCCGGTGCACGGTTTAACGTTAAATATTTATTAAATAACTGACTCGACAATGTCGCTTTAATTGCAAGCTACGATTTTAATATTATCTACCGCCGTTGGCAATCATTTAGGCGCAGCATGAATATTGATATCGGGAAGGCAGTCCCGGTACATTCGTCATTTCGTATTACTGGCACGAACGTAATTTCATTATGTTTATTGTCATTGATCACAGTAACAATAATTATAATGTTCCAATCGCAGCGGAACGACAAACAGAGTTTATTTACCGGATATTTCAGAGCACACAGCTTTTATTCTATTTTTCGGCGTGTAAACAAATATAGATGCTACATCGAATGAAAATATTGAAAACCAGGTGTGCTCTGTGGTGAGAAGATGGAAAAACAAATAACGGTCGCTGGATAGTGGATTTTGTTTCCATCGTATGCAAGTTTTTACAATAAATAAATAAGCACCAAGCAACTGCAAGATTTTCCGAACGAAATGGGCTACTAATAGTAGAGTTTCAAAGTTTTGGATTAAACATATTATATTTATAGTTATCTTAACAAGTTTACGTTCTTTGGAAAATTATTATGTTTGAACAAGGATTTACATTTCTACAATAAACTGTGCTACCAGAAATTGATCTCGTCCTTGTTTCGGAATATTCTAAAATATTTGCTTACGAATATATTTTTGTGGAAATGATAATTACATTTTTTTTATGACAAATATATTCGTTATAACACAAAAATTGTCATTTTTTTCGTTATGAGAATACTTGTCACATACAGCTAAGAGATTAAAGATCTAATAATAACATAGAAACTTCAACAAAGAACGTAAGTGTAATATTCTTTCAATATTATTGTGTTTGTAACAATGAATTTAGAACAATGTGAAATTTCATACAGATCTACAAGGTTTAGCACAGTTCAAAAACATTTTAATAGTTACGCTATTTATAGCTCACGAGAAGAGAAAATTAAGTAACCATCAACTCCAGATATTTTAAAATTTCCAGCAGCTCATTTAAAATTCATTATCATTGCTGCCTTATCGTATCTCCTGAATTGAACTTTTAGTTGGAAGAGCCACTTTACCGTTCCTTTATTCAATTATAAATGCATGCCGATCGATTTAGCGCGAAAGAACATTCAAGCTGCATCTTTCTTACACGTCGTAATCGTTCACAAATCCATAGACACAATTTTAGCATTTTTTGCTAGTTGTAACTTTTTTAAGAAAACTTTCGTAAAAATAAAATAAGACATCTGTGGACGCATAATATAATAGATATCGCTGGCTAAATTTTAATGGGAAAAGGGAATGATAAACTTTACTTTTTATATAACGCGAGAAATGTTCATTCACTGGAGCGGTGATTCGAATAACCGGACAAATCACTCTATGCATGATTAAAATGCACTGCAAATCACTTAAAACGAATTAGTCGTTAAATAGATGGGCTTATTTAGCCTATTTGCACGTACAATCTGTTAATGCCATTAAAACCGTTATATATGTATATTGCAATGTGCCGCTGCACCGAGATAATTGCGTCACTTCAGATTTTTAATGACTGAAGGTAATGTTTAAAGAACCTTACTTTATCAAAGAGAAAAGTATCTTGAAACTTCTTTTATATTTTTCACGAAACTAGATTTTTCAACCTGGCCGTCGCTAAATCTCCGGAACTATACATCCGACTTACTTTAAACTTTATGGAAATATTCTGCATATAATATTCTACAATGTAGCGTACGATTTTTTCGGTATGTAAATTACTTGATTTTAAATAAGCATTCAAAGTTGTTTTTTTTTTAAACAAAAACAGCTGTTCTTCCTTCAAATTGCGATTATTTTCGTTGCGACGATTATTAAAATTTTCGAAAATCTATTGCGCTACATTTTAGATATTAGTTTCTAGTTTATGAATCCAAAAAATTTGTTTAATTCAGACGTCCAAGTACTTGTCACCTATGGCAGTCTGCAGTTAATGTTCTGCGAGAAGAGGTATCAGAAACAACGAATAACTCCGTCATTTCGTACGACTTTTACTTTTAAAAACTTGATGAACAAAGCTGAAACTTGCATCTGTATTCTCTTGGAAAGACTAAATCTTTTATTTGGCAATTACCTATAAAACAAACTTCCAAACTTCACTTATTTCTTAACGCCGCAGGATAGTGTCTCCCCCCGAATGGTACAGTAATTGTCACGTTTGCCCTAGTGCAAAATAAACGCATTAAGAACGTCACGTCAGAGGTTAGGTCGGCTTAGCGTGCCTAAACGGTCATAATCTGGTCCTGGTAATTCCCAGGCAACTTCTATAAAAGTTCCGTCTGAAAATAATAAGGCTGAATTAAAGCTATTACCGGGCGCGGTGTTAACCCGGGCAACCGGTTACTCTATTGCGAAAGTTTCGGCGAAACAGGCTGCCGTTTTTATCGGTCGTTGCGAAAGTAAGCCCGTTAAACGCGATAAAAATGCACGTATTACAACGCGGGGGTGGGCTTTATCCCGTTATCTCGCGGACGAGTTGAATATTTTTAATTAACGGCGAAGTTTCGCCACGGACGGTTCGTTAATTCAAC